CATACAAATTACAGTTGACTTTGCTCACTTGAATCAGGTCTCCCAGACTCCCATCTCACCAGAACTAAATTCTAAATAACACCATAAAGGCAGGGCTGTGAGGGCCAGTTTTATTGTTTCCTTTCCAACACACTGGCAACAAGTTTCATTAGCAGTTGTGAGGGATGACTGCAAACTGCGGGCAGCCATTAACTGGAATCCAGACCGCGTCCTCCAGTTAGAGGAATACGGTCGTTTTCTTTAAGGTCGAATGTGTTCGCTGCAGGTCAGCACACTGACGCCAGACAGAAACAGTGTTAAGTATAACGGGTATTTGCTCGCTGCGTGGATCCCCACAAAAAGGAGAAGGCAGTTTCTGGACAGAGGATCCACTGCTCGATGTTCTTTAATCTATCTGCCTGTGGGCATGAAACAAGAGGGCAGGATATTGACACAATAAGCAGGAAACATAATGAGCTTCAGAACTGTTGGCAAAGAGACTGGAGACTTCACTGGTTTCAACAAACTGCCCGGTGGTCTGTCCTCCTGATTTACTGCCCGACTCAACTGAAATTTTTCGTGTGGTTCTGCTGTTGAATGATCACTGTTTTAAATGAGGGTTATTTTGCGTATTAAATTTTTTCTGTGCAGCTACAGAACATTACAGCATACTGTATACGCTCTTGTAGTCGTAACTAGAAACTGGTGGTTTTCTTAAAAGTGTGGTTAATTCCGTTATGAATCGCAACCGTAAAGGTTTGTTAACGACACCGAAGGACTGTTGTTCGATCTGTTGCTTTTGTCTGTGCTAAATGGTTTATGGGCAAAGGTCAGAGATTATCTTGGTTGGCCGTTTTTTTTTCTTATTCTTCAGACAGCATCATTTTTCATGTAATCCTTTTCTGCACCAGACAATGTCGGTCGAGAACAAATTCTTATTTGACGGGACGTCCAGCCGACACTTTTACATAACAGGACATTTTGCTGCAGCAATCTGAGTGTTGTACTGTATGTGCTCAATGGGGCAACAGCATGGCTACTCAGGATTGGAATCCCTGACCCTCATCCAGACTCCAGATGCTTGAATGTTCCTCCACACTGGGGAGATCAAAGCTACTCTAGCAAATCTAGGTGGACCTGGAGTTGTTCAGGATGCTAATTTTGGAGACCAGGAGTCTTATTTTAAAGTGATTCACCCACAAGGGCATAGGACATGCTATCTGGGCTTAATGAAGAGGAAAAAGCCAAATATGACCGATTTATTTTTCTTGGTCCATCACCAAAAAATTGTAAGATATTTCATCTCATCTTAATAACGATCTAGAAATGTCAATAAGCATCAGTTCTCCCCCACGGTGATTTTTTACTTGCGACAGCCTGTTTCTGGCACTTTGTTATAAACAAAAAATATAAACCACGGAGAACTATAGATGTGAAAATATTTACACCACCATCCAGTTCTCATTAACTGAAGGAATCTGGGGAATTTGCTCATATTTTCTGAGGAGCTCTGTGCTCTGCTGCTCCCCTCAGGAAAGTGAGATTTCTTTGCACCAGTTTCGGAGCTCCTTCAAGGAAGCAGTGGTGAAAAGCTGTGAGAGACACTCCATTACCCAGCCAGATCTCTCACTTCCACTAGCACAAAGGGATATTAAAAAGGAAAACTGGGTGCGAGGGGAGTAAAAACGTCT